CCCCCGTAAAAAAAAAAAAAAAAAATCTGAGCACTGGGGTGCAGCTCGGTGAGCACTCGTCCAGCATACACGCAGCCCTGGGTTCCATCCCCAGTGCCACAAAAACCAAGAAAAAAAACGAGGCAAGTTTGAGCTGCCTGACACTGAACAGGTACAAGGAGACAGCAGACGTCCACCTGTGACAGCACACTGCTGGAAGCCCCTGCTCACTGGGGGTGCCTGAGTGTCAGGGCGGGCAGAGCGCCTCCAGGACCCACCCTGTCCGTGTCCCAGCCGCTCCCCCACCCCCCGCTCCTGTCCTCCGGATCCCAGCGCTGACCCACGATGGTCTCTTGCCTAAACCCAAGCTTGTCACGCCAGTGTCCTTAGCTCCCAGGGTTGAGGGCCCTCGCTGGAAACGTGATGAGACTGTGCACACCAGCCCTGGGGAAGGGGCGCACCCAGACACGCTCCCCCAGCCCAACTGGTACGGGGTCCACACTGCCGCTTCCGCCCACCCTCAGGGCACCGAGCAGCAGAGACCAGACAGAGTATTTTTTGCCCAGGTGGCCCCCATGCGAGGGGCAGGACTGGCCATCACCTCCGCACTTGAGCTTGAGTTAACACAGGCAAGGAAGAGGCTGCCCAGAGAGCCCGGCACTTCCCCTGTCTGAGGAAGGTGGTGAGGAGAACCTCGCCGAAGGAGGCAGAGCGTGAGAACACACACGTGAGCAGACAGCCCTGCAGACCTGGAAACTTCATCTGTCAGGCGGGGCCGCCCCCTTCCAGCCTGCTGGACCTTACCCTTCTCTTCCCCAGCTGCTCCCGGTACCGGTGGCAGGAGGGTGGCTAAGCACAGCCATGCCAGGCCCAAGGACCAACTCAACGGGAGGTGGTGTGAGAAGGGCTCCGGGGCCCTTTAGCGTCTCTGGGCGATAGCTCGCCTCACCTGCGATGTCCCCAGTACTCAGCCCGAGCTCTACGGTTGCTCCCTCGGTGGCGGTGGCGCAGTAGCTCCCCACCTTTGCCACCTGGCTCCAAGGCCCACGCAGGCCAAGGAGCTCCAGTCCCACTGGCCAGGGACTTCCGAGGCCCAGGCAGGCGAGGCCCCCACCTTGACAAGGCCCCCTCACCTGTGGGATGTTGACGAGCAGGCTGGCACTGGGGACGTTGGCGACACGGATGAGTCCCTGCTGGATGATTCTCTGTCCTTGAATCTGCACACTGGGCACAGAGGCGCGGGGTGCCAGGAGGAGTGGCGGGGGCCCTGTGCTGGAATGTTGTCTGATGTTGTGGATCTGCTGTGGGGCGGGTGGGGAGAGAAACCCAGCTGAGGCGGCAAGGGAGGCACCGGGCAGTGTGGCACCACCCTCCTCAGGAGCCAGGGGTGCAGCCGTGGCCTGGCCTGCTTACCTGGGCCCCCCTGACAAGCGGGGGCATGACAACCTGCGCACTGCCCTGCGGCCCCAGCTTGGAGGACACCTGCTGCCCACCACGGACCAGGGGCGGCGGGATGACACTGCCAGGCATTCGGGTGGAGGAGGTCTGTCAACGACACAACGCCCACCTTTACCTGGCTTTGTTTTTTTGATTTTAGAAAAGCAAAATACTAGTTTAAAGCAAACTACGGAAAATGTGTATTTATTCTAAATGCAGACACCACCAAGAGCCACAGAAACCCAGGCTCACTTGGGAGCAAGTTACAACAATGTGGCAGCACGATGCCCCCAGGCAACATTCCGGCAGAGTGCAGTGTCCAGGCCAGGGTGGGCACCCATGTGTGCCGAGCAGGCCCTCCAGACCACGCTGTGGGCAGACAGAGGGTGTGAGCCAATCTCACTGAGGGTGTGCTGGGGAGCCTCCCTCTGCCATGACACCGAGGCATGGTCTGGGAGACCTGGGCATGGTTGGCCTCTGGCAGGGCCAATGCAGAGGCGACACTGACCTGAAGCGATGTCTTGCCAGCAGGAAGGTTCTGGGTGCCCCGCACCAGTGGGGGTGGGGTGGTCACAGCGCTCGCAGCAGAGCCCACAGGCTGAGAGGGAAACAAGCAGGTGTGAGGTCCCCGGGGTGCTTCGAACAGGAGAAGCCTCACTTCTTATGTTCCAAGCATAACAGGCTCCCAAAGGTTCTGCCACTGGCCTGGCAGCTGCCCCCTCTGGCAGCAGTTGGCCCATTGTACAGGGGGCCAGGAGAGATTCTCCAGCAAACCCAGCTCTCGCATCCTGGCCCAGGCAAAGGCTCTGCCCCACAGGGGGCAGAGACAAAGCCTGGGCCTGAACCTGATTCCTGCTTTCAGCACTGGCGATGGGATCCAGAGCCTCATGCATGCTAAGTAGGTGCTCCACTACTGAGTGCACTCCCATCCGTCAGAATAGGTTAAGTCACATATTACCGCAGGAAGAGACAGTGACAGGCGGTCCACGTCACCTGGCCCTCAGCAGCCTCTGCCCAACCCACTTGCTAACTGGGCAGATTAGGGGTCTCTCTGCCCAGGGTATGCTGACTTCCTGCATACTGAGATTGTGGACGGAAGCGTGAGGAAGATTAGCCGCAACCACAGCCAGGAGCCCACCCAGAACGGGCACTACAAATGCCCGACACAAGTCAACTGTAGCCACACGCTGGAGGCACAAAAGCGACAGGACAGAGGGACTTGGGCTCTAGGAGGAAGAGCCGGGAACAGGGCTCCTGCTAGGGGCCAGGCCTACGATCTGAGGGGCAGGCACAGAGCACAGGGCACAAGGACTCGGGATACACCTCAAGCATGCTTCCTGCAGCAGCAGACACCAGCTGGCTCCCTGGACACCTCTGGCGTGAGACCTCCAGAGCCCGAGCACCCCACACAAAAATGCACTCCGCCATACCCCCCACCCCGGCTTGGCGTGCCCGTGTCCACACTCCGCCCTGGCCCACGCCTGCCCGCGTGAAGGAACCTCGCCCTCCACCAGCATTCCCGCCCGCACCGAGCAGGGCACAAGTGAAGGCAGACAGTGGACAGGGCGCTGTGTGGACTGTGCTGGCTGGGCAGCACACACCTTCTGGGTGGTGGCTTCCTTCTGTATCTGACTCTGCCGCAGCTTTTTCAACAGAACGAGTTTTGCTTCTTCTAATCTTAACTCTTCTTTCAGTTGCTTGATCATCCTTTCCCGTTCTTCAGGAGTACTCTTCTGCAAGAAAGGACAAAGCACAAGGGTTGAGGCAGCACGCTGGGCAGGGACTCAGTCTCCAGTGCGGGGCCTCCCACGCGAGGCTCACCATGAGGGCTTCTGTGCTGGTCTCCTTCAAGGCCACCTTGGTCAGCCCGTTCACCCGAGGGCTGGAGGGCTGCTCGCTGTCAGACAGCACGATCACGTCGGGGGAGGGGGGCCCCCTCTCAGACTTCAGGTCACTGGGGCAGAGACAGCGGTTGGTCAGCAGTGCCAGGCGTGGAGCGTCCCACACATGCTCACCCACACCCGTGTGGCCAGGCCGCCCCCTCTCACCACACACAGCACCAGGCCCCAAAACCTCCGTCACACAGCTGGACCTCCAGACAGTCCCGTTGTTCCCTCCTCTGCCGCGAGGCACGGTCCTGGGTGAACTCGCTCCACTCCAGTCCTGGGGCTCTGGCCTGGTTGTAGGCCATCGCTGGGGCTCCCTCCTTCTAGGCGTGATGGGAGGCACCCCCCCCCAAACCAGAGGCTGCCACCCACCTGTGCTGAATACCACCTGACGGGGAGCCAGCCCCCCACAGACCAACCTTTGTGCTCTGCTCAACCCAGGCCGGCCCACAGCCCTGGAGGACGAGGGCGTGCGTGCACACTATGGGTCACCACCTCGCAGGCAGGACACGTGAGGCAGCAGTGATGATGTTTGAAACCAAGAACACCACCAAACACCTAGGCACCCTGCCCTGCCCTGACCCCTCAGAACTGGCACTCAGCCCTCGGCCCCCACACCTAACACTGTAGGGGCTGCTCTGCCCAGAGGGTACCAGAGGGCCCACCTGGCCTGCCACCCCCACCCAGCCCATCACCCCATGAGTCCTGCTTCGAAGTGTGCCAGAGTCCCCTCGTCACTGTGGCCGGAACCTGTCTGAAAAGCCTCGTAGATCACTGTATTCCCGCTCACCACTGCACGGTGCAGAGCTCACTTGTCCCTGGGCCGCTGGCACCCACAGCACTCAGCACAGGCTGAGCAGTGGCCGGGAAGCCCAAGGTTCTTTGGTCACTGCCTAAACTCCAACAGTGAGTATCCATCCCACGCACACGACACCGTTACTCCGGGTGGGCACAGGCTGACACTTGGTTGCCCTGCTGGCAACGCACATACTCTGCTGCCACTGTGCTGCACGGTGCCAGCGTGGTGCTGGTGGGCTTCTGCCTCCAGCCATGCAGCCCCCGTCCGCTGTGACACACTGCACACAAGGGTTCTCTGAGCACTCACTCTACTAAAGAAACCAGATCCTTTTTGGGCTAAGGAAAAGCAGCCGAAGACACAAAGTGTCCGCTAGGTGGCACTGTGACCCACAGGACAAACTTGGAGGAAGTTAGGGGGAAGTCACAGCTCAAAGTTGTCCCTGCTTTTTCCACTACGCGGCAGAGGCAGTAGAGTGAGGACAGTCACCAGGCCTGGCTCCATTTCACAGAACTCAGAAGCCCCTGAACCCACGCGAGGAGGCAGGGGACCATGGGCTCAGTGGCACCCTCCTGGGTGGGCAGGTGGGACTCCAGCCACTGCCCTCGCTCATCTCACCCTCCAGAGCACACCTCCTGGCCCTGACTGGACTTAACTAGTCTAGCACAGCCACCAACGGGATGGTCCCAGGACCTGGGAGAGGACAGGAAGGGGCCATGCTAAGTCTACAGGGAGTTTACGTCACCCAGACATACCGCTCAGGGCTCACCAGGCCACCAGCAGGTCTGTGTCTCTTCGCTGATGGCCCCATGACGCCCAATATCGACTTTCAAGGTGACCTGGCAGCTCCAATTCCAGGCTCTGGATGCAGCCAGGTGCCAACCACCTCATAGGCGGGGACTCATGGGCCCAACACTAGGCCGCAGCTGCTGCTCACCACTCAGACGGGACCCCGGGCAAGCGGAGAAGCAGGGCACCTCTAGTTACACAAGAAAGACACTCTGCCAGGCCCACACAGGCTGACAGCGCGAGGACCCAGAGTACCCACCAGGAGTTGCGGCTCTGCTCCCCTGAGCTTACTGAGGGTGTGATGCCTAATGAAACTGGGATCTGCCTGGAAGAGGGCAAGACGGGACAGAGACATCCTGTGCTGAAGTTTCCTGAGAGGGCCACCCTGACCTCAGTGCTCCCTGCCCCAATCTGGCCTGGGACTGATCAATAACTCATCCAAGAGATGATGTCACCGCTCATCAATGATCACTCAGCATCCCAGCAGCCAGCAGGGAGTGAACTTCCTGTATGCTAATCAGGCCACCAAAAAGTCATGTGACAAAGGCATTTCCCTCCCTGGTCATGTGACCCTTTAACTGTGCCTTCCAACGTGAAAACCATGGCAACGGGCAGTTCTAACCGGTTTGTGACACACAGCCTTCATTTTGAAAAGGGAGGTAAGGGTTCAGGTGCTGTCAGAAAATGGAGGCGCCAGGCTTACCGGGGCTGCAGCCATTTCCTGTGTGGCACCAACCCACAGGGACTGTGCACGTGTCCTAGACCCTGGGTTGCCTCTCTCCATCCCAGAGGGGGCCACCAGCCTGCCTAGTTTCCAAAATAAAACTTTTCCTAATCTCAATTTTTAAGGGTGGGGGTGGGCAGCGTCAACATTCTTAGTACTGTACTTTTCTAGAGTTCTAATTCTGGGGAAAAAAGGTGGCTCAGATGATTGCAGAAAATTATTTCAGAAGGATCTTTAAAAACTTGTATAAAACACATGAGGCCAGGCCAGGAGAGTAAAAGTGGAGGAAATCAGCTAAATGTTCTGGGAGGGACAGCGTCCACTCTAGCCAACCACATGCCTTCCACCACGGGCAGCTATCCTGGGCACCAACTTTATTTGGAAGCTATATGTGCTTCAGGGCAAATCCGATAAACTAATCCCACCTGCCCATCTTTGAAAAACACTTACTGAAAATAGAGTGATCAAGAGAGAGACTGTATGTGGTCCACAAATCCCTGGAGGCAGGCCAGGCTATGCGCAGCGTCAAGGGCCTCACTGAGCCCCAGAAACTCAAGTGACCCGCGGGCGTGTCCACAGAGGCTCTGGAGGGAGGCTCAATCGCCACACAGTGCCACCCGCGCAGGTGATGTCACTAGCCGCTCACCTCCCAGCCCTGCTGTGTTAGGGATCTCCTCAGGTGAACACAGAGCTGTCCTGGGGCTTGGACCTTTGCCTTCTCAGAGCAGGCACAGGCTGCTGGGTCCGGGGAAGGGGCAGCCTTCTCCCCCTGTTTGCACTTGACTCACTTGGACTTGCCAAAAGCCCACATGGGCAGTGGGAGTTGCACCAGGTGAGGAGAGAAACCCTGGGTCAAAAGCAGTTCTGTGCTTTGGCTATGGTCCACTAAGACGTATAGAACAAACATGAGGTCCACAGGCAGGAGGGAGGCTGCAGTCACCTTGGAGAAAGACACACCATCTAAGAAAGAATGGCCAAAAATTTGCCTGGGCAAACTCATCTAGGAGCAGGGCACACAGCTGAGGCATCTCAGGCTATAGAAAGCCAAAGACAGAACATCCCACCACCTCAGCCACAGATGGCCTGTCCCGACTGACTACACAGACCAAGAGATCCTGCTCAGGGCCAGCCTGGCCCTGCACCATCCATACCTGTGCCCTCCTGCTAGACACTCGGGCCTGACAGGCAGGAGGCAGATGGCTATGGACTGTGTCAGGGCAGGGCTTTGCCAGCCCCAGCCCCAGCCCCAGCTGACTCTCCTGTGAATACTCACCCTGGACTCGTGAGGCCAACCGGACTCTAGCCCAGGCACTGCCTGTGTGTGATGATCCCTGCCACCTTCCCACACAGTACCGTGTGGAACTCACACACCCCAGCCCCCAGTGAGCCCCATCACATTCACTGCAGCTCCAACAAACCCTGCCAGCCCATACCCTGGCCCTGGGAGTGCGGTCAGTACCGGTGCTCACGGTGGACCCCAGCAGTGGATACCCCAAACCCCACAGCATGTTCGGGAAGCCCTCTTAGCCACACCACCCTCCGCCTATGCTCTACTGTGGGCAGCATAGGCTGAGCAGAGGCTTAAACCTTCCAAGGGGTCACCCATGGCATCTGCATGGTGACCCCAAGCCAGGTGTCCTCCCTCCCTCATCTTCCCTCACACAGGGTTGGCACAGGCACAGCAGCTGGAGATGTGGGGCTGCTCCCTGGCTCAGAGGGTACAGGGAAAGGAGGGGCAGCAATGCCCCCGCCCGAGGCCATAGACCTTCCACCTCAGACCCAGGACCCTGCTCACACCAAGCCTCAGGCCCACAGCTCCCCCACAGCCCCAGGGACTCAGGCTGTGGAGAGCCTGCCCGAACCCACCAGACAACAAACACCAGGTCTCCTGTGCTTCCCCCTCTGGTCTCTATGAGGAGATGGGTCCCTCGGGGCTGCCTGGTGACGTGTGCGCTCAGCCACTGAGGCCTGGACTCCTTGGTGGGTGTCAAGAGCCTAGGCTGGACTGTTGCGGGAGGAGCACTGCTCACCCCACTCATTCTGCCAACCCAGCACCTGCGCGAGAGGCCACCTGCACCAGGCCACCCATGCCTCTCCTCCGCCTGCAGGGCCAGTCTTGGAGGCCCCTGGGCAACCTGCAAACTCTGCAGGACCCCCCACCCCACAAGCCTATATGGATGTGGAATGATCAGCTCGATCAGAGGGGATGCTTCCTGGGGTCCCCGAATAAAGAGACAGCAGCAAATGGGCCGCCCTGCCTCAGCCTTGCTGCTCCCGAGCTGGGAAGCGTACTAAACATTTAAATGGGTGACCAGAGCGCTTCCCACAGCACACGTGAGCCTGGCCCGGAGCAGAGAGCCTGGTGGCCTTGCACTTGGCTCCAGGTCAGGGTTTGAGCTCAGGAAGAACCCGGGGCTGGCAGCCCTGCCCTCGAGGACAGCTACTGCCCACATGCAACAGACGCTGCGCTGCTGACAGAAATGCACATTCACTCGAAAGGATTTCCGAATTCTGTGCTGTGCTGTGTCTTCCCAAGCAACAGACCCTGGAAGTCCAAGTCCTGTTGCAGTTCAGGCACTTCTGTGGGCACCAACAAGCAGCCCAAGAAAGCTGGGGATTTAGTTCAGTGGCACTGCACCTAGCCGCAGGTACAAGGTCCTAAGTTCGATCCTAGGTACCAAAAAAACAAACAAACAAACAAATAAACAAACAAAACCCCCACAAAAATCAAAGAGCCCTAGGACTCAGGACTGACAAAA